CAATCAAAAATAAAAAAATAAAGCTTTTGTAAGTGAAGATTCAAGATCAAACATTTAAGACCTAAACTCGTTATCCACACTCAAAGATCACAGTAGATTGAGTGAGATCGATTAAAACCCTAAATTCTTCTTTTGAAGGAAGAAAGATATGAAGATTTACCGTTGATTGAGAAAGATCAAGGTCGCGATTTTGCCAGCGACGGAGATCGACAGAGAATTTGGGGAAATTTTGGGGCTCGTTACCGTAGTATATAGGCATATAAATAGGTGGCCGGATGTGGGGCTTTAGGGCCTTAAATGGGTCGGATCCTAATCGGATTCGAATCCGGTAGGAGCTTCTGGAAGCCGCACTACTTTTCGTCTTCACTATTTTGATTGACCCTCACATCTTCAGTATTTTACAATTCGCGCCTCCTATTATGAGATTACTACGAGGTACATAGTTTTTACATTTTGTTGTTGCTACTCTTGATCGGAGATACTAGCTACAGACAACTTATAAGAATTACGGGTCAATTTTGAAGTTTAAATATATTTAATTTGTCACGGTTTTGGAAAAAGATAATTTCTTACTCCTGCTTAAATTTAATTAAAATAAATTTCCATTCAATCATACTTATATATTTTCTTTAAAAACACAAGTTCGGAAAAAAATTTGCTTGGACAATATTACCATTCATTTTTTTAAACATTTTATTTAAATCGTAATCTATTATAATCATAATTATATCCTATATATCTTAATCCCATATGAATTACTTATAGCTCAATAATTTAATAACAAGATTAATAAGTTACATGAAATATTACAACAACAACAAAAAACCCAAAGCAACATCACATATCAAAACTTAAAACAACAAACATGAAATTTAGAAATTAACAATATCTTCTGAAGAATTTAAAATTTATAATTAATACCCTAAATGTTTTAAAAATTATAGAAACACCCTCAAAGGTTTACATTACAAAAAATACCATCAAAACTTGCCAACAATATAGATGAAATCTAGGGATTACCATCAAACTTGAACATAGATTCCCCTTTCCCCACCGTAAAAAGCTCTTTGTTGCATCAATTAAGTCTCAGAGATGATAGAGAAAGATAACACCATGCAAACACCAATGAGTTTAAACAATAATAAAAAGGTAAAAAAATAATAAGTAGCTAACATACTGTAATATATGAATTATTATCAAAAAAACTAAAAAGTTTTAAAAATTACACAAAACACACTCAATAATTCAAGATTGCACAAAACAACTTGACTTTTTAAAACTTAAAACAATAAATATAAAATCTAGAAATTAGTACTAGCCCCCTAAAAATTACAATTAACACCCTTAGAGTTACAAAAATTGTAGAAACACCCCAAAAGTTTAATATTACAAAACGCACCATGAAATTTGAAAAATATGTTGATAGATTAAAATTTAATACCACTATCTAAATAAAAGTAATTACATATAATTTTACTCATAAGTTGGGGCATCAAAAAAAATAGATGTAGTATTAATTGATAGAAGACTAAATCACTTAAAATTGTTAAAGGACTATAATATAATAGGTTAGCATTAATTGATTATATTTTATAAAATTAATAAAGGATTATAATATAATAGCTTAGCATTAATTAATTATATTTTATATTAATAGTATTCTATAACGTTAGTAATATTCATAAGAAAAAATATTCTCTGATGTTAATAATATTCATAGGGTTAGGGGTGGGCAAAAACCGAAAAAAAACCGGTTCAACCGAAAAAACCGCCCGAAAAAACGGACCGGTTAACCGAACCAAATTAAATGGATGAGAAGAAGCCTCTAAACCGCCCGAACCGAATTAAATCGGTTTGGATCCGGTTTGAACCCCTGAACTGCCCAAAAAAAACCGACCCGAATTCTGTTGGGCGGTTTAGAGACTAAACTTATACCTCAAAACTTTTCCTGTTATCATCCAATAGATTCAAACGGCGCAAGGAGCAGTTTCAAGCAACGAGTACAGCAATATCACAGAAAAATATCCTTGAGAACTAAGTAAAGATTCAAATCAATCCAGAAAATTTGTTATGCACATGATGCACTTACAAAAGATGCATACGCTACATTATATGAACAATATCATACAAAACATCACTCCCCCGTTTAATTAAATAAACTTAAACTTTTGTTAAAAAATTTCGCAGAAAAGATCTTGAGAATTACATAAGATTCAAATCAATCACAAAATGTGTTATGTACATGATACTTACAAGAGATAAGCATGCTGTATTATATGAACAACATCTTTAAAATATCAGTTCTCTGCGTAATTATATCAACTCAAAACTTTATTCTAAAGATGATAACCAGTCTAATAAAGCTTTGTTGGCGAGCTCAGGAACCTCATCATGAGGACAATGCCCAGCTTGCAAATTCACAACAAAAATCTTTGGATAGAACTCTTTGCAAATTCAAAACTGAAACCGAACCGAACCGAACCAAATTTCGGTTGGGCCGAATATTCGGATGAAGGGGAAAAAATCTGGATCTGGATGAGAGTTTTGAGAATCCAAAAAATTCGGATTGGATGCGGATTGGGCATAAAACCGAACCGAACCGAATATGCCCAGTCCTACATAGGGTAAAAGGATATAATGAGTTATATATGGAGAAACTGTTAAAAAGTTCAGAGATATCCTTCAAAAGGATCTAGCTATTTTCATTTTAAATGGAAAAGTGAATCAATTAACCCAAAATTCATAAACTTACATGAGTCACTTGAATTGATATTTATAAGAGACATATCTATCAAAGAAGCATCAACTAATTACCCATTAGAGAACATATTAAACAACTTTTTTCACTTAAAGAAGCATTTTTCATATAAGATATAAGAAATATTAGTAAATCTTATAAAATTTCATACTTTATTCTTCAAATACTAAAGGAATTATAAACTTATTATATAATTAGAATCTTGCAATAGCAACTAACGTGAAATTATTGATCAATTGTATTACAAAATATAACAAACCAGACAAGAGGAGGAAAATTACTAGAATTAACAAAATGTATCCACATAATACTTACTTAACAAACCAAACAAAATGTGGAAAATCACTATAGTGGACAAAATATATACACATGTTACTTACTTATTATAGCTTAAAATACACATGTAATATATTTCATTACAAAATTCTTATTAAAGGCTACTAAATATATAGTTCACCGTATATCCTTCTCAATTTTGATGGGGAGATATGCATGTCATCACAGATTTGCATACATACATGTGTGCGTGTGTGTGTGTGTGATTAATGAGTATCATTGTCAAGGAGGAGATTTCCCTCCTTGACTCCTATATGGCACAATCCCCACAATGGGAATAAAGTAGGAGAGAGAATTTGGCTTGGTGAGGATTGTGTCACATAGGAGTTAAGGAGGGAAATCTCCTCCTTGACAATGATACCCATTAATCTCTCTCTCTCTCTCTCTCTCTCTCTATATATATATATATATATATATATATATATATAAATATATAAAACTAAGTTTATGTCACTCAATAAACTCCTAGCGCACTAATCTTATTATATAAAAAAATCATATCAATGCATGATCTCTAAGAAATATGATGACAAAAAGTTTGGGACAATTTGCTACCACTAAGTTCGACACAGAATTTTGCTATATATATAATATATATCTATATATATTATATAATATATATTATATATATAATATATATAATAATACTATAATATATATATATATATATAAATATATATAATTATGCTATATATAATTTTCGGGTAAACTTCACATTCGCTCTGTGCGAAACAAATTTGCCGTTCGATTTCGACGCTCACATAAGTCGTTGGATCGGATATTAAATCTCCCAAATTCCCAAGTCCCCGTACAGCAATCCTCTCTCTCCCCAAAACCCAAGCTCCTCTCCCCTCCCCAGATCCCTCTTTCCTCTCCTGCTCACCCCTTCACGCCGACGCCTTCAGCCGTCGAGCTCGTCGTCGAGCTCCCCAAACCCTCCTCCCTCTCCCTCCGACCGACTCCGACTCCGACTCCGACCTCCTCCGCTGCTCCCTCTCATATCACCGCCAGCTCGCCGCCGGTCTTCAACCGCGTCGGAGCCTAGCCCGCGAGCCCCGTCGCCGCCAGTCTTCACCCTCGTCGGATCCAAGCCCAGATCGAGGTCATCTCTAAACTTTTTGCTTGATTTTGGATCCAAGGCTCTTTATAAGTTCCTGTTAATTTGTCATCAATTTTGGAAGTTCAACGATCGAAATCAAACAGAATGTTGGTCAATATTTGAAAATTTGCTTTATTTTCTATAGTTTCCTGCTATGATGATCGGAAAGTGTTCATGAATTGAGAAGTGTCAAATTACATTTTGTTCGTTTTATTTTCTCAACTAACTGAAGAATTAATGCTATGATGATCCGAAAAAGAAGTCATCGGCTTTTAGGGAAGTGTATGTATATGCTATCTGGGTTGTTCCTGTCCAGTCTTTGAATATTTTGACTGCCTACTTCTTTATATTTATTTAAAGTTGAAAAATTCATTTCACATATTCGCCTCATACGATCATTGGCGTAATCACAACAATTTTGGGACATCAAGTTAATTGTTCTTTCATATGAAACATCAACTTTACTGTCTGACATGCTTAAGCGGAGCAATCCAACTTCACTGAGTTTTTTGAGGTTTAAATGATAATACTTTCTCTGGCTCTCTTACTATCTGAGATATATTATAGGCACACAAACAATGATGTGCATGCAATGGAACAAGATAATATTGAGATAATACTTTCTCGTTTTTAGTGATTCAATGGAACAAGATAATATTGATGAAGCCACTGATGATTTAGAAGATTCTTGTGAGGAAGGTAATGGTTAATACATATGGAATAGCTTGTACATTGCTTTTTTGGTATATATCATGATTTTTTTAATGTGATGAAGCACTTTGTTTTTTATTTTTTTTAATACAGATGAAGTTCTCACTATTGTGTGAAGTTTGATCAATGTTGGCAGAGCAAATCATAACACTATTGGTGAGAATTTGTGATCATCGTTATGTATCTGTGTTTTTTAGTTCCTTCATCAGAGAAAATGTTTGATGCAGAACATGAATATCTCTTCAATATTCTCTGTTCAGTTTAGATAACTTAGTCTGTGTTAATTACGTTTAAATTATTGTAGCTAACTTGTGTGTTTTCTTATTTTTTTTTTGCAGCTGAGGCCCAAGAAGAAGGTCAAGTAGGCTGCTGATTTCTATGCTGCTCATCAACCTCATCCTGGGGCTTATATGTGGCGTCAAGTGCAATCAGCCCAACAACAGCCTACTTGACCTTCTTCTTGGGCCTCAGCTGCAAAAAAATGAGTAGATGATATCGGGTATGTATATAGACTGGTTGCACATGAATATCAATGTAACAAGATTGTGTACGTACCCGATATCATCTACTCACAACGTAATCCAAATTATGTACATAATCTACACTCCCAAAATTCAAGGTTCATACAAATGTATATATCAGTCTATATACATACCCGATATCATCTACTCATTTTTTTGCAGCTGAGGCCCAAGAAGAAGGTCAAGTAGGCTGTTGTTGGGCTGATTGCACTTGACGCCACATATAAGCCCCAGGATGAGGTTGATGAGCAGCATAGAAATCAGCAGCCTACTTGACCTTCTTCTTGGGCCTCAGCTGCAAAAAAAAATTAAGAAAACACACAAGTTAGCTACAATAATTTAAACGTAATTAACACTGACTAAGTTATCTAAACTGAACAGAGAATATTGAAGAGATATTCATGTTCTGCATCAAACATTTTCTCTGATGAAGGAACTAAAAAACACAGATACATAACGATGATCACAAATTCTCACCAATAGTGTTATGATTTGCTCTGCCAACATTGATCAAACTTCACACAATAGTGAGAACTTCATCTGTATTAAAAAAACAAAAAACAAAGTGCTTCATCACATTAAAAAATCATGATATATACCAAAAAAGCAATGTACAAGTTATTCCATATGTATTAACCATTACCTTCCTCACAAGAATCTTCTAAATCATCAGTGGCTTCATCAATATTATCTTGTTCCATTGAATCACTAAAAACGAGAAAGTATTATCTCAATATTATCTTGTTCCATTGCATGCACATCATTGTTTGTGTGCCTATAATATATCTCAGATAGTAAGAGAGCCAGAGAAAGTATTATCATTTAAACCTCAAAAAACTCAGTGAAGTTGGATTGCTCCGCTTAAGCATGTCAGACAGTAAAGTTGATGTTTCATATGAAAGAACAATTAACTTGATGTCCCAAAAATGTTGTGATTACGCCAATGATCTTATGAGGCGAATATGTGAAATGAATTTTTCAACTTTAAATAAATATAAAGAAGTAGGCAGTCAAAATATTCAAAGACTGGACAGGAACAACCCAGATAGCATATACATACACTTCCCTAAAAGCCGATGACTTCTTTTTCGGATCATCATAGCATTAATTCTTCAGTTAGTTGAGAAAATAAAACGAACAAAATGTAATTTGACACTTCTCAATTCATGAACACTTTCCGATCATCATAGCAGGAAACTATAGAAAATAAAGCAAATTTTCAAATATTGACCAACATTCTGTTTGATTTCGATCGTTGAACTTCCAAAATTGATGACAAATTAACAGGAACTTATAAAGAGCCTTGGATCCAAAATCAAGCAAAAAGTTTAGAGATGACCTCGATCTGGGCTTGGATCCGACGAGGGTGAAGACTGGCGGCGACGGGGCTCGCGGGCTAGGCTCCGACGCGGTTGAAGACCGGCGGCGAGCTGGCGGCGATATGAGAGGGAGCAGCGGAGGAGGTCGGAGTCGGAGTCGGAGTCGGTCGGAGGGAGAGGGAGGAGGGTTTGGGGAGCTCGACGACGAGCTCGACGGCTGAAGGCGTCGGCGTGAAGGGGTGAGCAGGAGAGGAAAGAGGGATCTGGGGAGGGGAGAGGAGCTTGGGTTTTGGGGAGAGAGAGGATTGCTGTACGGGGACTTGGGAATTTGGCACTATATAAAAGAATAAGAGAAATAATATATATGAGCCTCGAAATCGAACGACCCACATTATGTTCGCCACAGCAGCTGTGCGGAAAAGTTTTCGCACCGAAAACTTCTCTCTCCTACTCTCTCTCTCTCTCGTCTCTCTATATTACTATATATAGGATTTATATATTAATATAGATATATATAATTATATTCTAGTATATATCTATAGTTGATCGATATGTCAACTTAAGTGGAACCAGCATTGCTCACAAAGTTTCTATCCCTATTTTATATATATAAAAAGACTCTTCATATTTATGCAAAAAGGGCCCTAGGCTATGAGTGATAGAACTTTGCGTGCGGATCATCCACTTAAGTTGACATAAGAATATGCTCTCTCTTCTCTCTCTCTATCTCTTCTCTATATTATAATATATATAAATATATTATATATTAATATAATAATATATAGTATATATATATAAATATATATATATTAACACATACATGTGTGTATGTATACATCAACCCAAAGATTCAACTAACTAAATAAATAAGAGAACGGTAACTAAACCAAGCAAACATCCATATGACACAATAAACAACAAATATTATATTTTTAAGTTAATATGCAGGGTTCACTCAGAACAAGCTATCAAGACAGATGCATATACATCAAGACTCTTTACAAATGCAATAGAAATTTAACTTAGCGATATTATGCAAGCATCACAACATTCGAAAGAGGTACGTTCTTAAAAACCCAACTCTATAATTCACAAAATTAAACCTAATTAAAATTTACCAATATACAGATACGATATTGCACCTTTAAGGCAAAGATAGCTACCGATTATAATAGACTTGAGCTATGGATTTATGCTTGCAAAAGTTACAGCAAGAAGGTGGGTATAGATGTTAATAACGAGTGTCCAAATGATAAATATTGTAGGATCTCTGATAACTTAGGACATTACAAAGGTAACACTGCTTCACGCAGTAGAAACTCTTATTATGTTCACAACACAATAATTCATTGAAAAGAAAAAAATAGGTCAATCCTAACTTAAGTAATGAATTAGAAACAAAGAAAAATTGACATATTCATTAGCATTTGTTCTCATTCAAATTATTTGTAAAGTTAGATAAGAAGATAAAAGACGAATAAGCCCAAGGAAATATAATAGCACGAGAAATTCAGCTCTAGTCTGATGTCACAATCGACGTAGATAATGAAGACACCACTCCAGAATTACCTTAGAAAAAGATAAAAATGAAGAAGGCTTGATCTTAGCTCAATAAAAAAATAAAATATAAAGAATAAAAGATAATATTTTCTTAATATTTTATAGAATAACCTATTTTTTTAATAAAATTAGGAATATTTGAAAGATATTTTCATGAATTTTTAAATTTTGTTATATACTTATTTTGTGGACTCTTTCATTATATAAAATTATACTAGAGTTAGCTAGGGGTGTGCAACGGTCGGTTCGGTTCGGTTTTTACCAAAATTTGAACAACCGAACCGAACCGTCTATAATTTAAAATCGAACGGAACTGTTGCAAGTCGGTTCAGTGCGGTTCGGTTCGGTTTGTTCGATTCTAACTTCATCAAACTTCTTATCAAATAACAAACTGTGTTAAAGAAAAAAGATATCAACAAAGTAGGAGATTATGAAGCATTAAATACTGATATAATGATATTGTTTTTAACCCATAATGATTCAGAAAATGAGTTTAGGGTTTGAGTCTTTGACTCTTTGGGGATGGGTCGGGTAGGGTTTAAGATCAGAATGGGTAGTATTGCTCTATATTCGGTCGGTTCGGGATAAAAAAAATTTTAAACTGACTCGAACCGCCCTACTCATAAAACCGATTTTTTTCGAGTCGGTTCGGATCAGTTCGGTCGGTTTTTTCGGTTTGGACCGAACCATGCTCAGCCCTAGAGTTAGCATTAATATTTAGTTTATAGTTTTTAATGAACTCTATCAATGATAATTAGGAATGAAATCTGTATTCTCTTTTATGTCATTTTAGCCACTTCTAATCAATCATCTAGGCTTATTGACGTTAATTATTCCTCTTGCTATTATAATGCTATTTTTAAGTATTTTTTACTTTTGCAACACTATTTTTTTAGGTAAAGCTTCATTTCATGTCGATCCAAATAACATGAATATTTAAATTGACTTCACGTTGGTTTTTTTGTTAATTTAATTATCAATATGAAACTTAAAATTGGGTGTAACCCATTCAAACAAACATTACAATAAATAAATAATTATAATATAAAATTTAGAGACATTAGTGAGAAAAACTATCAAATTAAAATCGAAGAACAAATTTTAGCAAGGAAATAAACCAAAAATAAATAATTATGATATTTAACTACGTGCAATGCACGTGTATAAAAACTAGTTCCTCATAAAAGTTGGGCTCACTGTAGTGAGAGCAATTCTCATACAGTACAACTTCTGTAGAGTATGTTATTTTTGTAAAATAAAAAACATCTACCCTTCTTGTTAGAATATATAAAAATTAAGAAATGTTTTAACATTGGTTTCAGATTCTTTTGGACATATCCTTCCGGACTATATATGTCATAGCCAGGGCCGGCCCTGAGGGTGTGCGAAAGGTTCGACCGCACAGGGCCCCCGATTTCCGGGGGCCCCAAAAAAAAATTCCTTGATTCCCTCCTTTCTCTCGTTCTCACTCTCTCATCTTCGTTCTCTCTCTCCCCCTTCAAAAGAAACCCAAATCCCCTAGCTCCAGCTCTCTCCCTCCGCCCCTTTCCCTCGCCGTCAAACCCCACTTCACTGAATTCGTTTTCGCAAGCCTTAGGCCCCTAAGCTGAGGGAAAGGTAACGGTTTGGATTTCTGAGGTTCTTATTGGGTTATTATTATTGGATCTTGATTAGGGTTTTTGGATTTGGAATTGGATTTGCCGAGTGAGGATCTGAAGGCGATGCTGCTGAAGTTAGAGGAGCTGGCGGAGAGGAAAGCGTATATTGAGTAGCTATCTGGTAATTGGATTTGCAGGTTCGAATCTGTTGAAGAAAGAAGGATTTGCAAAATTTGGGCCAGGTTTTAGCCTATCTTTTTTTTACTATATATATTCTGTGTTATCTGTTTTATTTCCCATGCGTTTTTTTTCAAAGTATTGACTTTGATGATTATTCTCTTCCCTTTGCAGACTATACAAATGGATTCTATGAATGATGTGGATAACAGCCCTCAGTCTCTCCTAGCATTTATTGGAAATGAAATTGTCCATGGCTTATATGACTTTCTGTTAAATTACAGGTGATACGGTTGTTTCTACTTTCTGTTTGCTACGTATCATGTTTACATTGGATCTAAGTGTTTTTCTTTTCCTTTTTATTCTTAAGGTTCTTCCTGAGTTCTTTGATGGGTGTTGACGTTCCTGTACTATATGCGCCGGTGCCATTTCAAAATGCTTCTCTTTCTGTTCCAGAGGTCAGTTTGATTATCTACACTACTTTGCTAGCTTGGTTCCTTTTGGAATTTTGTTTATCCTGGGATCTAGAATCATGTTACCTACCGAAAAACCAGTGTATAATTTGCTATGAAGTGATTCATATGACAGAACTTGCATTTCCTAAACTAAGGAACCTAGGAAAACCATAGTTTTGTGTTGTTCAGGAAGAAGAAACACTAAGATGGCTGGTTAAAACAGTCTTTCTGGCTGTGCTTCACTTGTTTCATGGATCATAATGGAGAAATAATGGAATTTGGTCTTAAGCACCATGATATAATTATTCTCTACGTTTATGCTGAATTTCCTATTTTTCATATTGAGCATTTACTGCCATGTATTGTCAAACTTGGTTGAAATATGTTCCTTCTTGTTAATCCCTTTTTTTCCAGGTAAGATGTAGGGAGATGAGGAGAGCTGACACAGTTCTTCCTTGTTCTATCGAGTTCTTGCCTTCTTGATGATGATGATGGAGGAACAATTCCAGGCAGTGTTTTTCAAGAGGTATCCCTTCTTTAAGAAATACAACATTTCTTGATGATGGTGATGTTAAAAATCATCCTGATTTTGAATCTTGGCTGAATCTTAGTTGTTGAATTAGGGGCAACCAAAATTGGATTGGGCTAGGGCAACCCAAACCTCGGGGCTGGCCCTGTGTGTGATATTCTTCTTGGATGTTTGATATGTACATTTTTCAATATTTCAGCCTCATCAATTGTGAGCAAATGGCATGGTATGAACATAATTTCTTTTTACTCATCCCTTTCAATATTGTCATTTTATCTGTTAGTTCACTTGCAGAATTTTAGAGATTCAAATTGGAATTTATTGATATTTTGTATATAGAGAATGGTCATGTGTTTACTTTTCGCACAGGGCTCCCAAAATCTCAAAACCGGCCCTGGTCATAGCATACTAATACTCTCAACTCTCATCGGAACATCAGACTTCTGTTGCATTTGGAAATTGTGGAAAAGTAAAACTCCATTAGTTTCATGTCACTCACCATTCTAACTAGGAAAAAGTACTTATATTTTCCAATGTTGCATTTGCTAACTAGCCAATTGTTTATGTCAGGAAGTTAAATGTATGGGGAATGAGTATTGGAGGAGTTTAGGGTCTCTTCCCTAGTGGTTGATCAATCGAGAGGAAGTAGATCCTTGCATAGATAACACTCATTAGAGGGCTAGAGATGATCTCTCCGGCGTACCCTCCAACATTCAAGTCAGTGATAGATTAAACAAGTTTGCAAATAAATGCAAAATCTAGTTTTAGGGCGTTATTAAGCGTATCTTGATATAGTGGGGATTGTCCACTATTTATCGAGAATTTGTGGGGAGGCACATCGGTAATTCGACCGGTTGGTACAATTGGTTGATTAGACTACACTTTGTACATGTCGACAATCGGTTGAATGAGTCACATTTGCGTTTAATGCGATGGTGACAGAATGACAGAAGTGTTAGCATTGTTCGAGGAGTCATTATGACTTCATCTCGAGAAG